AACCTTGGTTATGAGATAAAAATTGTGAGTTTGCGTCAAGAAATTAAAACACACGCTAACTTACTAGCATGTTTCAAAGAGTGTTGATCCATCATTTTCTTTCATTGTTACAATTGATGTTATTCAGTTTATGATTGGTTATGTTCTAAAGCAAGATGGCGGGAAAAACTATAGACCTATTGAGTTTATGTCTAAACGTCTTTCATCTGGTAAGGTAGATAACTCCACCTACGAAAGAGAATTGTACGTCTTAATGGAAATGCTGAACACATGGAAGCACTACTTGCTCGGAAGACATTTAACGGTCTACTCAGATCACTCGACCCTGAAGTGGATTAAAACACAACCTTGACTTTCCAACAAGTTAGTAAGGTGACATGCATTCATTGAAAAGTTTGACTTTGAGTTGAAAACCATAAAGGGTAAGTCTAACGTTGTTACTGATGTTCTGTCCAGGTGGTCTTATTTCTTTGGTACCAAGGGTATGCTGGGGTCCTATCATTTTAACCATTCAGAAAAATCCTAAACTTTTTTATGAGTATTGAATGACTTATGACTTGCTCTTCTTTATCGATAGAACCGAAGAACGAATTTGCACTCCGTATAGAGAAGATATCAAAAGTATGGTTATGAGGCATTGTCATGATACTGAGGGTGATTTTGAGTTTAAGACATATGCTAATATGAAAGAAAATTTTAATGGAAATGAATAAAAGAGGATGTGCTAACCTATGTGGGAACTTATCTTGTTTGCCAAGGGAATAAGTCGTCTACTAAGAATCCTTTAAGACTACTTCGACCACTTCCTATTCCAAGTGAACCAGATGAGTCCATCTCTTTTGATTTCATGAAATCTCACAAAGAGTCAGAATAAAAATAGTCAGGTAATATTATTGTTGTTAGGTTCTATAAGGATGCAATGTTCATTCCTCTACCATCAGAAGCAAAAATGAAAATCATCATAAAAAAGTTTCAGATGTGATGGGTTTCTGAGTTTGGATTTTTGAAAATCATCGTCTCTGATATGGCTGTACGGTTTAACGACCAAAATTGACGAAATCTGATAGAAGTGTATGGTATAAGAGTGATCATGTCGTGAGGTATGCATCATTAAAAAAATGGCTAAACTAAACAGGTGATCAGATTGTTCCAATGGTTCTTGCGTATATATGTCCAACCATATCAACTCGATTGGGATGAGAACTTACAAAAAATTGTGATTGTGTACAACAATAGTATTCATACCATTACCGGGATAACACTCGACACACTGTGCAAAGGTTGAAATTTGGGACGTCTCATTAGTGCATTGGTCAGGGAACACATTTAACGACTACCCCCATGAACAAGATAATTTGCAATTACATAGGAACAGGGTATAGCTAAAACAACGGAGAATATTTAAAAAGTCCAGCTACAAATAATTGAAAAATAAACATCGTCAACCATTCAGTTCAGAAAAAGAGATTTAGTTTGGGTAAAGTCTAAAGAATTATCCCTTTATGATAATGTGTCTCAAAAATTGCTACTTGTCTATTATGGACCCTAGGAAATTCTCAAGGTAAGAGGGAACACAAATGTACCATCATATCGAATTGATGTACCGCTTACCTCAAGATTTATCTCGTTTTTCATGCTTCTAAACTGCTACCCTATTTAGAAGGCAATGAGGTTTTCGACCCGCCGTCCATGTTTCCTCCCTCTATGAATGAAAACTATGAAGTATAACGAATATTGGAATATGGATACTTTTAATCATGTCGCAGGGGAAGACCGCAGAAGAAGTACAAGGTAATGTTCAAGACTCAATCTGTATCAGAATCAAGATGGTTCACCTACTTCACCAGATATCGTTGTTCCGTATAAGCGTGAGTTAAAAGATAAACCGATTCTAAAAGAGTAGTTTCAACGATGAAACTCGAAATTGGGTCCGATTGAATGCAATAAGTCGGCTCAAATATGCATCGACCTCAACTTTGGGTCGTCACTTTTGGTCGAAGGACCCGAAACGAGGATCGAATGTTACACGCCCAAGTCATGAAAATGTATGAAAGAAGGCATGTTTGTTTAAGGGCACCTAAGGCAGGACAAAAACTGACATTCATAGGCTGAATGTGAGAGAATTGATAATGAAAAAATTAACAGTCAATATCAACTCGGAAGTTCAGGATCCCGAGTCAAAGTCAACAGGTACCCTACCTTGGTTGTAGATCAAACACACACCTCTGTTTTTTTTACAGGTGTTTGGAAGGAATAAAGTCCAAGTGGATTTTGCAACTGTATGACATCCTAGCTATTGGCCGAGAGAAGATTTGGGCCGTCATATCATATATTATGATCATGAGACCTTGGGTTGGCAACAGACTCAGACCCGGATATCTACGAAGCTAGCGAGATGGGTCACTGAGTCCCCAAAAGGCCAGTATCCCAATTAATCCAGTAGGCTACAATACGGGCAGGGTAGGCCTAGGGTCTGTAAGATGAGGTCGTAGGTAGGTAGCTACAGTCCCTGCAAGCACGTCAAGTTCCTAAAGTTCAATTTTGCAGCACCCTCCCAACGAAAGTCGAAAACTTTTCCAAAATGGTAATATGGCAAAGGAAGAGGCCGCAAGAGATTGGTACCGATTGAAGCAGGCACGAACAATCCACGACAACTATATATTTTAGGCTACATTGCCAAAAAACATTTAGTTGTTCATTTCGTAGAATTGTGGAAGCACTGCAAGAGTTTGTGCAATCAAGCGACATGGACGAAGGAGCGCAAGGGGGAGAAGTGCGCAATGCCTGGCTACTACAGTTTGCCATAGCCAGGCGAGAGGGGAGAGGTTCCCCAATGGTCATAGCCACCCAAGATCAGCAACGCACACCGTAGTATTCAAGGTAGATCCAAAACGTTGAGAGAGGAACAATGAGTGAGGAATAGTGCGAGAGGAAAAGAGAGAGAAGTAGACTATTGAGAGAGACACACACACACAAACACACACACACATACACACACATACACACACACACACACAAAGAGAGAGAGAGAGAGAAGAGAAGCAACCGAAGGAGGAGGAAGTTGGGTATATACCTGAGGCATGTTGCAGTGGTTGAAACCGCTTATTCTCGAACTTTTCAATTGTATATTATTGCACTTTGAGTGGAACTTCAAATTTGCACTGTTCATGCCGACACCTGCTGGCCGATATGTGGTGGGATCATTTTTTTTTTTTTTTGGTACTAATCGTTGTTGTTTTTTATGGTACCTGTCGTTATTTTCTTTGGGTACTCATCGTTATGTTTTTGGGGTACTCATCGGTTTTTGTATGGCGTGCTCGGTGTGGCTATGGTGCACAAAGCGAAGAAAACAAGAACTTGGGCCCTCACGAACCTTCGTGGAAAAAAAAATCTATTCATTTTTTTTTTTTTTTTCCTAAACTATATTCTTCTCTCAATTTCACCTCACACTACCTTGGCTGCCGTGTGGCGAGGCCCTTAGGGCCTACTACGGTAGCTGCACTACTTGCCATCTGCCAAGATTTCGAATGCATCTGGACAAGAAAGATTGTGTCCACATGCCATCAAAATGTTGGCGGTGAGTAGTGCAACTACTTTAGGGCCTTAGAGGAAATTGACTTACGGTGAGGGCACGGGTGCGCAGCCCGTAGTTCGTTTGTTGATGTGGTTCGGGAAGGGTAAGGTAGTGATTATGCTGTATGTATGTTTTGTTGCGTTCACTACACACAACTCAAACAGAGTGTGTGTGGGGTCCCGGTTGGTGCTTCATTCATGATTTTCATGGGACGCTGGACCCAGTTTCCAGCAGGTAGGGCTCCCCATCAATAGACAGGAGAATGTGTGTGCGTGTGTATGTGAGTGAGTGTGTGTGTGTGTGTGTGTGTGTGTGTGTGTGTGTGTGTGTGTGTGTGTGTGTGTGTGTGTGTGTGTGTGTGAGAGAGAGAGA